GTAGTGGTCTCCTGAAGGGAACAGAGGGTGGAAGCCTTCATGACATGCATTTGGGACCCTGAAGTTTCCTGTCCAAAAGACATAACCTTTGTTTGCCTGTGCACTTTTGTCCTTGCAGAATCACATCCTGACCCTGATGGCTATGGCTGCTTGGATCTACAAGCACCCCAGCCTAAAGAACTCCATCAACCTCGTGGTGGTGAAGGTGCTGATTATCGAAGATGAGAAGCTCGGGCCAGAAGTGTCGGATAATGGAGGGCTCACACTCCGCAACTTCTGCAACTGGCAGCAGAGCTTCAACCCTGCTAGCGACCGTCACCCAGAGCATTTTGACACGGCCATCCTGCTGACGAGACAGGTTTGCAGCTGAGCCACCTAAATCAATGCAGGGCCTAGCCTGAGTGGGGCCTGGAGCAGAGATCAAGCAGAATTGTGTTCATCAAACCCATCATCCTTATTTGTGTTATAGCAGGCCCCTGGGGGAGGACATCCACTGAACTAGGTGCTTAGCATTCAAATAATAAAAAGTGGTTCCTGTCCAGACAGCTTGTCGTTTATACAGACAAAGCAGATTAGGGAACGACTGTTATCCCCATGTCGATAATGAGAATGGAGAAGTGCAGTGATTTGCCCAAGGAAACAGGGAGCCTGGAGCCCGGATGGGAATGTCAGAAGTATTCCCTGGTTCCCACCAGTGCATTGCCCACTGAGCCACTCTTTTTCTCCATGAAATGTCTTCTGGCTGATCCATCATCAGGCATCCAGCAAAGGTGTCTCTGGAGAAAGGGAGGAGATGAAAATGGCTTGGATCTGAATTATTCCAAAACAACAAGTTTCAGAAAGGCTAACAAGAGAGGAGACTACTTGTTCTATTAATCATTAATCACTAAAGTCAATGAATAAGTCACCACTGGGCTTATTTGTTATCATATCACAAATTCTGGAAAAGGAGAGAGGGCAAAGCTCTGGGAGTTGGTTTGTCTGCGGCTCAAGCACAAAGGAGCTTGGCAGGTTGGGCTGGGAACCTGGCAGTGCTATCCCTTGGCAGGAAGGTGCAGAAGGAGGCTGCTTTGGCATATTCTGCAGCACAACACAAGTTGTCCTGCAAGGAGAAGCTAGGAGTGGGATCAGGCACTGGGTTTCCAACCTTCCCACTGAGAGGTGTGCAAACTGAATGACAGGGACATCCCAGTAGTGCTATGAGCCCGTGTCACAGGGAGAGGAATCACATTGGGTCCCTGCTCTCTTATCTTATGTCTTCTGATGCTCTCTTCAAACACAGGATTTCTGTGGGCACCAGAGCTGTGACACTCTGGGTGTAGCTGACATCGGCACCATGTGCGACCCCAAAAAAAGCTGCTCTGTGATCGAAGATGAGGGCCTCCAAGCTGCCTACACCCTGGCTCATGAACTAGGTAACTCCTTTATCACTTGTGTGTGAGGGATAGTCAATAGGCCTGCACAAAGTGCCTAGTATTTGCTTTGGATTTGGCCAGTTCGGGGGACAGTGATTCAATTCAGTGCTTCAAATCACTGTCCCAAATCGATTTGGCCGAATCTGATTCGGAGATTGCGAATCTCCAGATTGCACAGGCCCTATCCCCCACTTGCTCTCCCCATCCGCACCAGCTCCCAGCACTTTGGAAAAAAAAACCTGGACTCACCAGGTGCTGCTGGGCGGGGGGCAATCCCCGCTGCTCCCCACTGGCCCACGCCGCGTGGGGGCTCTGCACAAGCCCCCATCCCCACCATGGCTGCCCTGCCCGCCCCAGTTCCGGCCCTTTAAGAAAAACAAAAACCAAAAAAGCCCCCACTCACCAGTTCCTGCCCGGCAGGGGGCAATCCCCACTGCCCCCCACTGCCCTGCGCCAAATGGGGGGCTCTGCACGAGCCTCCCGAAGCCCCGAGCTTTTATTGGGCCAACTGTATAGTTGGGATAGAGTTAGATGAACTGAAATGCAAGACTTTTTTGATGAGGTCTGAGAGGGAGCTTGGAAGTGGAGGGGGCAGGGAAGACAATGAGCTGCTAATGTTCAGGCTGCCTCTCATATTCCAGGTCACGTATTCAGCATGCCCCATGATGACTCCAAGACCTGTGAGCGACTTTTTGGGCCTCTGGGCAAACATCACATGATGGCTCCTCTCTTTGTTCACTTGAACAAGACTCTGCCGTGGTCCCCCTGTAGCGCCATGTACATCACAGAGTTTCTAGATGGAGGACATGGTAAGAATCACCTCGGTACTCGCGGGATGCCTGGGGTTGATCCAAACCACTGCCACGCATGCTGGAAATGGTCATTCTGGGACCGACTTCCCAGCACCCAGCAGACTTGGGCACTCGTGAAAATCCCACTAAGCAGTCCTTTCACCTCTAGTCATGTAAACCTGGCCCCAGGTTTTCATGTATGGTCATCAGGCTTCCATTCCCTGCCCTCATAATGTGTGGTGGGCTGTCATGCACCATTGCCGCCCTGCTCCCATTCAGCTGTGTAGACAGGCTTAATATGCTATTAGGCTATATCTCCATGGCAAACTGATCATGCAGACTGGGGTACTGTTTTTCTCACAAACGATTCATCACAGCCACTATGGACTTGAGCATTACCAGAGGGTCTTCCTTGCTGTGCATCTTCCCTTAACTTCCCCTGCCAAAATATCTGGGTCAAAACCCATGGCAAAAAAGGTACAAGGGACGCAATCATGGGGGTCTACTACAGACCTCCTAGCCAGGATCAAGAGCTTGACCAGGAATTCACCAGGGAACTGGCTGAGGCCGCACGCTTCCAGTGCATGGTGGTCGTGGAAGATTTCAACTACCTGATATCT